GAGAGAGAGAGAGAGAGAGAGAGAGAGAGAGAGAGAGAGAGTATTACTGATGCTGGAAACTAACCGTGCGTAGCTACGAGCTGCATTAGGGTTTGTTCTTGTATTCATTCTCGTATGTTATGAACCGTGAGGAGGCGAGCTTGCCTTCGTAGGATGTGGTGTACTGGTCAGCCGTGTGCAGTGATATTGTGCAGTGATTGTCTGATGCTTATGGCGCCTGGCTGTTTTAGCTGAATGGACAAAGGACCGAGGGGGTTGGCGAGATCGAAAGGAGGACGAGGGAGAAAAGAAGGGTCAGAGGAAATAACACGGAGTAGAGGAGGACGTAAAGTGATGGAGACGAGGTCTTTCTTTACGCGCTTCCGGTATTCGAGTCTCACCTGTGGCTCTTGCTTTTCTGATGTGCAGGCCAATCGGAGCTTCATGCAGCGCTGCACCGCTGTCCATCCTCTGCGGAAGCAAGGGTGCGATAAGTGGTAGCCAAGGGACGGCAGTGCCGAGCTAGGCGCCCCTTCTCTTGCGCATTCTTGTGCTTTGGCTTTCCAACTTCTCTGAGCTTTGCTGTCTCTCCTTCGTCACTTCAAGGAGTGGCCCCATGGGACGAGCCTTGTTCCGACCGGTGGGGAATTAACCAGTCAAGGTGACGTTTTCTGCGTCTTCTGCATTTGAGTAGACTAAGTGCGGAAACAAGGACCGAAACCAGGGCGGCGGATCGGCCGGCTGCGTCTTCTGCGGTTATTTGCGGAGTGGCTTCGTTTTTCCAGAGCTTGCCGTTTCGATCGAAGTGCTTGATCCGTCGACTCCAGAGCACACAAGACGCGCTGACGGCAGCGCGGACAGAAACCACATGATGGCATCTTTTTCTGCTCAACGTCGTTCTTGTCCGGCGTGCATCTCCTCGTTGCTCGTGTGTGCGTGGTTGATCCTTGCTCTGGCAGGATGCGTTTCCCCGTCGTCGTTGTCTTCCTCGCCCCCCGTCTTTCCGTTTGCACGGACTGCACCTGGGCGACCTGTCCTTCCAGATACGCGAGCTACCCGGCAGAGTAGTGCGGGCTCCGTCGATCAGGCGGGAAGAGCAGCTACGCGGAAAGTGGGTACGACTCCCCAAGAAGCTGGAAAGTTGGAAGAGGAGTTTTATGCGCCAGCAAGAAGGGGCGGTGCAGGAGGGAGTGAGAGCCGTGACTCAGTCGCCGCAACCGCAACCACTTCCACTTCCACTTCCTCGGAAATCGTAGTCGACCGTGAGAGTGGACGTGAGAAGACAGAGTACGGAGACGGAGAGGTGGAGGTGATTGAGGAAGACTGGGATCGGTGGTCGTTGTTCGAGGCCGAGTTAGGCCTTGATGAGTACGGCTTTAAAATCAACATGACGTCTTCTCAGCGGGAAACGGCTCGAAGGTTCTTGGGCTTGGCCAGTCTGTTCAGGAAGAAGAAGCGCATCGTGGGGCACGTCAGGCGTTTTGTGCGCAAAGCTTTCGGCTACGGAGCGTTTACGATCGGCGGGCTTTTGGGGCCGAGGGCGACCGTGACCAATTTTGGAGATTCCGGTCCTGGGACTCTTCGGTCTCTGTGCGGACGTAGAGGTCCGCTGTACATCCGCTTTGCTGGGAGTGGTGTCATCCGGTTGAAGTCGAGACTCGAGTGCAGTTCCCACAAGACCATCGACGGAGCGGGATCGAGCGTCAAGATCACCGGATGGGGTATTAGCATCAACGGCCAGCACGACGTCATCGTGAAGAACTTGTGCATTGCTGGTGTCAAGCAGGACGGCATAACCATTCGCTCAAGCTCGAACGTCTGGATCGATCGCTGCTCCATTACCAAGGTTGGGGATGGGGGTACCGATGTGATCTACGGGTCGCATGGAGTGACCATTTCTCACTGCCATTACTTCAACATTTGGAAGACTCTGCTGCTGGGGAACGGCAACAACAACAACGTCGACAAAATGATGACGGTGACTTTGGCATTCAATTGGTTCCAAAGCTGCATATCGCGCATGCCACGTGTTCGCTTCGGCAAGGTCCACGTCTGCAGCAACGTCTACGACAAGTGGGTGCGCTATGCGGTCGGAGGCTCAGCGGGAGCGAAGGTTCTTGTGGAGAAGAACTTCTTCAATGCCGGGCGCGATCCGTGGGTGAACAACCTCCACGAGGGGGAGCACGACGGGACCAAGATCATGTATAGGAACAACTTCATGGGAGCTGCACGATTGCTTCGACAAGCTGTAGGAGTGGTCATGGTTCCATATTTCTGCCCCCGCCAATCGATGCAAGCCATTCGATCGAATGCCGGATGCGGATTCCAGTGCAGTGCTTAAACCGAACTGCTTTTGCATTTCCTCTTTCGCTCTCTTATTTATGCCGAGCTATGTAGTGCGTAAACCGAACTGCTTTCGCATTTCGTCTCTCGCTCTCTATTTTATGCAGAGCTTTGTCGCTTTCTTGTGCTCTTCGAGTTTTTTCTTCTTCTTTGAGGTCGATAAACGATTAAGACGGCAAGAGTGCGGGATCCGTATGAATTCCTTGACAAGTGTCGGGAATAAATAGACTGGCGCGCATGGAGCACATGTACATGTCTGGTCAGGAAGAACTGCGAGGGAATTGACGAAAGTGGACGGAGAACCGTTCATACGTCTATGATGGTAGGCTATTACAAGAACCGCGTCGACAGAGTAGTATCGATGCCTCCTCCTCAGTGCAAACTGTAGTATCGATGCCGCCTCAGTGCAGAGTGTAGTGCAGACTGTGAAGGTACTACGTTAATTGTTAGTATGTTGTATGTGGTCCAGGAGAAGAGGGAGGAGCACAGATCGAAATGGCCATCTAAAATGTGCAGGCAGCTTGGCGGTGACCCTAGTTAGTTAATCAAGAAGGGAGAAAGTTTCTGCTGCGATGATCTCATTTGCACCCTATTTTACGGTGCGTCGTCTTACAGCCATCCCTTGGACATGGTTCGAGAGATGGGCTAGAACACTCACAACCATCCCTTGGAGATGGTTCTACAGATGGGCTGGAAGAACACTGTTCTCGAGATGGTAGAACACTGTTCTGTTCTGTTCTGTTCTGTTCTGGAGATGGCTAGTAAGATGTGCACAATCATCTCGAAGAATTGTCGTCGCGGGAGGATCGTTCAGAATGTTGTCATGTCAGAAGCAAGTGCCTCTCGGTAGTTATGTGTGAGAGGCAAGTATGTGCTTCGTCGGGTTCTTGGGGGGAGAGAGAGAGAGAGAGAGAGAGAGAGAGAGAGAGAGAGAGAGAGAGAGAGAGAGAGGGAGGAACGAAGAGGGCTGAGAAGCCAATCGAAACTGTGAATCTATTGCATGGCACCTAGGCATAGAAAGTTAGGGTTATTTCTGAAACCTTTTCATGATTGGCAGGCTACAGCTGTTGTATCAGAGTGGAACGTGGGCCGATGAGCCTTGTGCATGAACCGTGCGGGCTGATACCTGCGTTCAGCAGAGACTGCCCCTGCAGTCGCATTCGTTCCCCATTTGTCGCTCTGAGCTGCGGGCCATGAATGATCTGCCGCAGGAAAGTGCATTTACATTGACTTCGCGCGGCATTATCGGTCTTCTCTATCTCCATGTGATCCGCCGATTTTCCTCTCCAAATCGACTCCGGTTTTCTGTCTCTTCGGCTCCTCCAGAATATCGCCATCTTGATCGAGCGGCATCGTCACTTACTACCTTAGACCCCTTTCCGGTGCTTTTCGTAAAAATCTTGGCTGTCGTTCTTTGACCCGGATGACCATTTTCTTGGCAGGTTTGTTTTAAAATTATTGTCCTTTTTTTTTCCCCCCTTCTCGAGTGCGGCGATTGATACCGAGTAAGTGGAGGAGGTGTCGCCTCTCATGAACTTGTGTGAGCTGCGCATCCTGCCCTTAGTTTTGGACATATGAGTAGAGTGATATTTCCTTCGATTTTGCGCACTGCTACGTAGGCTCGCCCCCATTTTACTGTGTCTCTTATGTACCACTAAGTATCCTGACGTAACTAAAGACTACGTAACAGCTTGCATGCGTTCTAACTAAAGACTACGTAACAGCTTGCATGCGTTCTATCCACTGATTCCACGCTTCGCGCGGTAGGATTAGGATTAGTTATGTATCATTATTTATCCTTGGAACTGCTACGTAGGCTCGCTTCCATTTCACTGTTTCTCTTACGTACCACTAAGTATGCTGACGTAACTAAAGACTGAGTAAAACAGCTTGCATGAGGTCTATCCACTGGTTCCACTCTGCGCGCGGTAGGATTAGTTATGTATCATTATTCATCCTTCGATTGAGAGCGTGCGCTCTGCTAAGGTCCCGTATGATTATTCTGGAATGTACCATGTTTCCTCGATTTTAGCGCACTATTGACTTCTGCCTGCGAGTCTGTATATGAGTGTGCACAAGCGAGAGAGAGAGAGAGAGAGAGAGAGAGAGAGAGAGAGAGGCGGACTTTTATGTCGTATTGTGTCTGTCTTGGAGAAGAGGTGGAAGACGTAGTAGTGGAGTTTGGTGGCTTTGGTGGTCACGATGCTAAGAACTTGTTTGAGCTTCAAGTAAGTAAGAGATCTTGTTCCATTCTCCTACTGCGGTGGGTTCTCACAACCTCGCTCTCCCTAGAAGAAGGTGCCACCACACTGCCTCGAGTCACGACTACCTGAATTCTGTAGATTTCCGAAGATTGTGAAGTAGGTGGTCAACGACTCAACGTGTCTCGTCTCTGCGGGTAGGCCCTGAAAGTGGCCACGGCCTCACTCAACCGTGACGACGAGCTTTTCTTGAGGTAAGTGGTACACAACTGTTCAGTGTTGCTTCTTCCTAGAGGACATCGTAATCGGGACTGATGATTGATCGAAACGTCGATAGGTTTCTTTATAATGCAGCCTGCCAGGACTGTGTTGTCGAACTATGGCTTCTCTCCAGACTCGGACAAAGGCGTACTCGTGCGAGGGACACTGATGGGCAGTAACGAGGACGAGGACGGCAAACATCTACTACCGTCTTCACCGGTCAATACAACGGCCGGTCATTATAGCTGTATTTGGGCCACCTTCCCGTCTAGATACGGCGATAATGACAGGGCGCGTTCTATTCGGGTGAAGACGGTAGTGAAAGAAGAGAACTGTGGACATGCTCCAGTTCTGACTTGTCGCTTTGAACGTTGAAGTAGAGTACTTTCTAGTGGGCGGCGTGTAGTTTCCAGTTCGTCACGGTCGCAACGACGGCGGCCGCAAACTTATTGCCTCTCATAAGGGGAAAGAGGGGCATTGGGAAAACCATAGCGAGGGGAAGAGGGGCATTGGGAAAACCAGAGCGAGGATAAGGAGGGGGAGGAAGAGTAGAGCAAGGTTTACGGCAGGGAGAGGATGTGCAGCGGCCGGCCAGCCTATTGACGATACAAGCGATTCTCCTGTTGTACTATGGGAAGATCCTTTTCATTGATAAACAAAAGGAAACAAGCAGAGAATTGCAGGGCGAGGCTCGAGTTTGAAATCCCTCTGTATGGGTAAAACGTTGACGTGAAGAAGCCTCTGACGTGCATGTGGATGTGGACATGATTTGCTTTGTATGCGTTTTTGATCGTTGACTCTGACGTGCATGTGGACATAATTTGCTTTGTATGCATTTTTGATCGTTGACCCTGACGTGCATGTGGACATAATTTGCTTTGTATGCATTTTTGATCGTCGAGTCCACTCGATATAAGCAATGCACTCTTCTCTAATTGCACAGAGTGGGCACTCTACTTCGTTTTCCTCCTCTTTGCCCCTTGCTCCTCTTTACGTCGGGGATGTTCCATGCCTGTAATCAATCATGTCAATGGACGGTGGTTGTTGATTGCTTTGCCTTACATCCGACGGAGATCCTCGACTCAATTCTAATTTATTTATCGTCGACTCCATTCTGATTTATCTTCGACTCAATTGTAATTTAATTTATGGCCGAACAGCCACCGTGCTTGCTATTCTGCTCGGTAATGCTTGTACTATTATATTACCAGTTGCGCTGCATGTATATGTGTAACAGGCATGTGCCCCCTACTTTTGCGTCCTCCCCGGCGTGATCCTTGTGGCGATGGTTGTCCATTGGGCCCGACCCAGAGACCCCGGGGTAAAATATGTATGAATGTCCAAGGTTCTGATATAAGTGAACTTGGCCATCATTAGGGTCTCATGCATCCTGGAAGGTCCGAGTGATTTGAAGTATATGATCTGAGTCAAGCTCGGAAGGGAGGGTCGCGCTACCGAAATCAGGAAGAAAAAAAAAAAAACGAAAGGAGCCGACGGGTCTTTTTATTTTTTACTTTCTTTTTTTTTTTTTTTTTTTTTTTTTACAACGGGTCTTTTAGCTGCAAGACAATCCTTCTTTTTTTTTTCTGCAAGACCATTTTTTTTTTAATTATATTTTTTTAATTATTTTATTATTTTATTATTTTACTTTTTTACAAGACCATCCTTACACTACCGCCGTCGTCCAAACAGAACGGGCGGTCATTATAGCTGTCCCCGTGGGGCCACCTTTCAGTCTAGATACGGGGATGACGACCGAGCGTTCTATTCGGGTGCAGATCTGTCTATAGCTTCTTCCCTCGAATACAACGTACAGTCACTATAGCTGTATTTAGACTGAAAGATGCCCCAAATACTACAATGACCGTACGTTGTATGTGGGGGAAGAAGGTAGGGATGGTCTACCGTCTTCGCCCGAACATAGCGCATCCTCATTGTGAATGTTCACTGTCTCTCACCCCTTCTAGCTGTATTTGGGCCAGCTTTCAATCTACTATATAGATAAAGTTGCAATGACCTGTATTTGGACCAGCTTCCAATCTACTATACATAAAGTTGTAATGACCAGGCTTTCTATTCGGATGAAGATATGGTAGGCTAGTAAAAAGCTACTAGACCTTCCAAGTTTCCCGTCCGATACAGTCGTGATGAGGTGCGTTTTGGTGAGAGGGGCAAGACTGTGGGCGTTGTCGCAGGGGACACGAAACGAATGCATCTTCCTGCAGAAAATGGCCAGGGGGTCATTGGTTTGCTGTAAATAGTACGAGTGTATTTTGCCACCTTTTGTGGGCAGATGCACTCGTTTCGTTTTCGTTTCGTGTGCCGTGCGGCGAGACCCTGTATCTCGAGTATTTTCTTCGTTCTCTTGCCATTCCCGATGGGGGATTCTGAGGCAGACAGTCTGCTGCTACCGCCTTCGCCCGAACAGAACGTACGGTCATTATAGCTGTATTTGGGGCGTAATTCAGTCTAGATACGGCGATAACAACCGTAAGTGCCATTCAGTGGAAGACTGGGGGACTGCAGAGCTGCCATGAGCAAAAAAGTCGAAAGAGTTTCCACGAGGTGGTGTCCAGGTGCAGCGTCTTCACCCTGCGGTCGAGAGTTCACTGAATGATATATCAGCCGTGCCCTTTCCATACACTACCGTCTTCTCACCCGAATAGAACGCCCGGTCATTATTGCTGCATCTGGACCGAAAATTGTGCCAAATACACAGCTATAATGACCGGGCGTTCTATTCGGGTGAAGACTTGAGTTTTAGGGCCTCGCCACACCACTCTGGAGATGTGAAAAAGACAAAAATGTGGCGGGTGCATCTGGCCATGTTCTAGAAAGAAGTTCATTCTCATTTTGCACATTTTGAGAGCGGTGTGGCGATGCGCTTAGGGGATGGAACAGCCATTACTTTAGAATGTGGACATTTTATATTTTTTGAACGAAAGTGAAACGGACTGATTTGGCCAAAACAAAATGTCAAAAATTTGTAACTCCCGAGGGTCCGGCTACTTCCTACCGTCTTCACCCGAATAGAACGCTCGGTCATTATCGCTGTATCTCGACCGAAAGTTGCACCAAATGCAGAGATATAATGACCGGGCGTTCTATTCGGGTGAAGACGGTAGCAAGTTTTGCTCCGATGCTGGAGATGCCCTGCGCGCCACCGAAAAAAGAGAACTGGCGCGACTTTCTTTTGTTTTCTTTTTTTCTTTTTATAAAAGCCGGGAACCGGGCCTGGCGTCCCTCACAAAATTAGGTGGGTCCTTGGGCGGGCAAAGCATCACCGGCCAAGCGCATCCAGGGTACCACTAGATTTCACCCCGCAGCCAGCTCCACAGCCCCTACCACTGAAAAACCAACGAAATTTATCATCAAAATCTAAACCTCATCACCAAAAACTCTTAATCACAATAGTCATGCCAACCCTAATTTAGTGACCTAAATTCCAGCCACCATTAAGAAATCATGTGCAAAAAGGAACTAGCATGGAAGAAAACAAATCAAAGCCACAAAAAAAAAATGAGCGTTCAGCGCTGCGCTGTGTGATCATGTCCACCATTCATCCGGAGTTATTATCAACCAACCCCTGCCAATCCACCCTCCCACCCGTGCGGCAGGGGTCTGTGTGCCCACAGGCCCCAAACTGCTGACAGAGACCCCCCAAACCCACCCACCTCCTCGCGATTTAAAGCGGATAGCACCTCCCCACACTCCTCGTTACAAAAACACCAACTCCCACCACGATGCTGATTTCGCTAACCACGGTATTATTTTCACTAACCACGGTATTACCCTACCTCCCGTGTGACTTTCTTTTGGCTGGTGCTGTCAGCCCTTTTTTTTTTTTTTTTTTTTTTTTTCTGTTCATCTGTCAGCCTTGTTGCTCCACTACCCAGGGCCAGAAAGTTGCGGCTTGTATATCATCAACGGGCCCGCGGTCCATGTATGGGCCACGTACTTCAGGAGACCTCAAAATTTTGACAGTTTTTGGGCCAAATCTGTCGGGGTTTCAATTTCTTTCAAAAAGCTATGTCTCGAGCGGATATACGGGACCCCCTTGACAGTCCGGAGTTGCCGGACCGGACAACTGGGCCAAATGTCTGCCAGGACCCTTCTGTCTGAACCTACTGAACACGGCCTAAATATTTTTGTTTTTTTTTTGAGAATTTTCTGTGCGTTCTAGGTCAGCTAAGACTCTGGGCCCGAGGTTTCAGACAGGGTAGCACCCAATGAAGCAGTCTTACGACCGTCCTTCCCCTAGCTTACCCAAGGGCAGGCGGAACTCGGACTGGCCTGAGCGACTTATACCCCTACTCTTATCCCAGGGTCTAAGCCTTATATATATAGTCACTAGACAGTTCTATTCGAATATCAGTAGGAACTCCGCTGGCCCATACCTGTCCCTACTGCAGATACTAGACCCCACCCAGTGACTAGACCCCCCCAGTCTGATAGTTGTGTAGTCCGCAATCTATGTGTGTACCCGAAGGCTATGCATGCTCTGTGTATCTATGTACCAAGATGTGCAGACAGCACCATGTGTGGTCCGCTGTGCCCGCCGTTGGTAAATTTGATCGGTGATTTCAACACACACACACACAAAAAAAAATAAAAAAAAATAAAATAAAAAAAATCGATCGGTGGTCACGTTTCCATTTTGCGCCTCCAGAATTTGCGGTGTCAGGACCGTGGCCCAGGTGCCCATGTACTGGTGCTTTAAACCACCCATACGTGTCCTTTGGGACATCCGTTATAATTGGAACGATACAGAGACGGAAGATTAGCATGGCCTCTGGGGCCTGGATGGACCCACTAGCCAAGTGTTCTACGATGTGCGATGCAATTTTATGGTTTTTTGGAGACGACAACTTGCAAGTGATTATTTATTTGCATGAATGGATCGTTTTCTGATTTAAAATGAATTGAAATAGCACATAAAACTATGAAGAACAGCTCTGCACCCGAATTCATGGGTTGGTGCGATCTCCTTCACGTAAGTCTTCATACTGATGTACCGTGGCAATAAAATGTGCCCACGAACACAGCCACGCGAATGAACAAGCAACGGGTATGGGGATACATTCATCACCATGTATCTTATGATGCCTTTAACAGGCCATCCGACAGGCGCGGAAGCGCCCCTGTCAAATCCACCACAACGTTTGAATTTCACATTTCAAGTTCGATTTCTCAGAGCCAAAAAAAAAAAAAAAAAAC